CAAGGGCAATGTAACAGCAAGGAATTACTGAAACCCAAATGAAGACTGAACATGATAGTGGGACAAGAGGAAAGTAAATGGAAATAGAGGAAAGAACTAGGAGGCAAATGGCATTTATAGAGATCTAAATAAGGGCATGTACATATGTAAAAATATTTATATATGATCATGGGGTAGTAGATCTATGTGCATATGTTTATAGGTTTAGTATTAAGGTGTTCTAATCCTTTAAACAGTTACAGTTTCAGAAACTCACAAGGGTAGTTATACCCTGCCCTATAGAATTGCTGTGAGTCAACATTGACTCGATGGCAGTGAGTTGAATGATAAATCTTCTAGACCTCCCCAAACTAGAAAGGTTTACCATTCTAAAGGTTGACTTTAACTGTCATCAAGTTGGCCCCCGGTTCATGGCTGTGCTACAATAAACAGAATGCTGGCCAGGCCTGTGCCGTCCTGTGATGGGTTGCAGAGCACACTGTTGTGATCTATAGGGTCTTTGTTGACTGGCTTTTCAAAGTAGATTTGGCCAGTCCTCTTTTCCTAGTTCATCTTAGTCTGGAAGCTGCATTAAAAGCTGTTCAGGGCTGGGAGGGTGGGAGGTGGGGAGGGGAAAAATGAGGAGCTGATACCAAGGAATCAAGTACAATGAAAATATTTTGAGAATGATGATGGCAACAAATGTACAAATGTGCTTGGCACAATGCATGTATGGATGGATTGTGGTAAGAGCTGTATGAGGCCCCAGTAATATGATTTTTTTAAAAAGACAGAAAATGATGTTGTCACAGGAGGTTTAATCATACTGGAAAAATGCTTACAAATAAAATGGGAAATGAAAACTGGGAGGCAGGGCTATGTACTAACCTTGGATTTTCATGAATTGTGGGCATGCATAGGAAGAGAGTGGATGGAAGCCATCAGACTATACCACCATGGTTGTATTTAGGGAGATGTTACTGATGATTTGAATGTTTATTTACTCTTTTATATTGCTCTTGGGATGGGGGGTGGGGTGGGCAGCCCACAGCCACTGAGTGAATTCTGACTCATACCAACCCTACATGGGTTCTTGAGGCAGTAAGTCTTCAGGGAAGCAGGTCGCTCACCTTTCTCTTCCAGAGCCGCTGGTGGGTCTGAACCACAAACCTAGTGGCTCCCTGACACTGCCACCTGAGCTCCTTTTCCAGGACTGCAGTCATGAGAAACTCCTAAATATTATTTTAATCTATTTGAATGCACATCAATAGAAGGAGCACATGCGACCGCTAGCCCAAAGGTCAGGGCTTCAAACCCACCAGCTGCTCCGTGGGAGAAAAGGCCTGGCAGGCTGCGTCCATGAAGACGGGCAGCCTCAGACACCCCAGGGGGCTGCTCTTCTCTGTGCTGTGGGGTGCAGTGGAGCCCAGGGCAGTGGGCTTGGGATGTTAGAAGATTATAGTGAAATGGAGCAGACGCATTTGGAACAATCGCTGTTTGTCCTCTGTCATTCTGTCTGTG